AACTTATACCAAACTGTACAGCAAAATTATAAGCGCTGTCTAAAGTAGTTTGCATTTCTAAAAGGTATGATCGCAAGCTCAATGTTGTCGGCTTCTCGATGTCCGTGAGTGAACGTCTCGGGAGTATTTCGATCCCCGATAGTGGAGGCAGCTAATGAAAACTCGGTTAGCAGTCAGCCAGTAAGTTAGCTTATAGGAAACAGCTTTGTGTGGAGGTACGTTGGTTTCCACTGTTACAGTTTTGGTCGCAGGAAGATGGAACACGGTGGGGGGAGAGGTACAGCCAAGCATAGTCGTTGGTTTGCATTGTATGATATTGTCGGACGGGACAGAAAGGGCGATAGGGTGCACGGTTACCACTGGCTGTGTGACGTGTTCTCCAGTGTTATTAACTATTGGTGATTCGACCCGGGTTCCTCATGCAGGGAAGCGGCAGTTGTCAACTCGATTGAGTTGCATAGTGTTTCCCTACTTCGTTGCTAGGTCTTAGACTTTACACCTTTCGATCACCACCCAGCACAGGGCCGCGCAAGAGAGCTCTGTGAGGTAGGCGGTCCTCTGATATTGGAAGTACACATCTTAACTACGTTACTTACGAAACTTCGGTAGTTCATCCATTGCGGGCTGTCCTTTTCCCTAGAGTACCTCAGCATTACGCATCCGATGCTCCTACCGGTTCCTACAAATAAGTTGGAGACACCGATGCTCAAAAGCGTCCTTTTTGGAGTAGGGGGAGTGATGACTCAGTGGTAGAGCGTGAATTTACTGACTGGAAGGTCCATGGTTCGAACCCGACCTCTGCCTCTCGACTTCCCCTGTTTAGGCTTGGGCAACCTGGCAGGATACCAGCTCTCTCCTTCTAGTGGCCTGGCAGTCACTCTCATCATCATCATCATCATCATCATCATCATCATCAATCATCATCATCGACAGCATGACACCAGTGTTCAACACCGATGCTTCACTGCCGTACAACTATTACTTATTTGAAAGCCTTATTGTAAAGAAAAGAGTAAAGGTGGACGGGGAAGGGACTTAGTGCTAGCTTAACACAATCATTCCGAGGTGCCTACACCTCCAGACATTCACTCAGGCAATCTGGATAGAAACTGACAACAAGAACGCCACTGACATCG